CCTATGGTAACTGCAATATTTTTTTTTTTTAAACATTTTATTAGGGGCTCATACAACTGTTATACCAATCCATACACACATCAATTGTGTAAAGCGTATTTGTACATCATTTCTCAAAACATTTTCTCTCCATTTAAACCCCCGACATTAGGTCCTCATTTCCCCCCTCCCTCCCCGTTCCCCCCTCCCACATGAGCCCTTGATAGTTTATAAATGGGTATTTTGTCATATCTTGCCCTGGTAACTGCAATAGTTTCTTCTTGCCTTTCCTCCTACATTGCATATTCTTAAGTTCATTTTTTTTTAATCTGATGGGCCCTTCCTCCTTATCTTTCTTTGGACATCCTAGCCATCCGAGAAAGCCCACCTAAACTGCCACCTCCTTCAAGTTTCCAAAGGAGCCCCAGCGATGTAGTGGTTACACATTGGGCTGCCATCCACATGGCCGGCAGTTTGAAACCACCAGAAGCTCTGAGGGAGAAAGACTGGGCTTTCTACTCCTGTAAACAGTTACAGTCTTCATCCCTTTACTGACCTACAGTGCTACACAGGGCGCACCGGAGACACAGTGTGGGGATTGTGCCCGTCTGATCCTGCCACACCAGGGGTTAGCACGAAGGGAGTGCAATAGAGCAGCAAGGGGAGCAAAGCAACAAGGTCCCGGAGGAATTCTGGAAATAGACTTCTGATTGGGGAGGCAGGGCTTGGCACTGCATCAGACCCTATCAGAAAACAATCATACGGGTCAGCAGACAACCTGGAACTATTCATAGGCGGTTTTTCTTTTCATGTCTATCTATATAAGATAGGCAGGATAAACAGTCCTGAGGCGAAAACAGTGGGACCAATGGTTGGTGGGGGGTGGGAGAGGAGGAGGTGGGGGGGAAGGAGGGAGGAGTCAACAAACCTAGGGATAAGGGAACAAAAAGATCTATAATCAATGGCCAGGAGGGCATAGAATGCCTGGTGGGGTTTGATCAAATGCAGTGTAGCGAGAGGAGGAAGTACAGAGAGCCAAATGGAGTGGGACAGGAGGAAAGTAAAAGAAAATAGAGGAAAGAACTAGGAGGCAAAAGACATTTATAGAGGTATAAACAGGCATTGTACATATGTAAATATATTAATATACAACAATAGGGATATAGGTCTGTGTACATATATTTGTAAGTTAAGTATTAAGGTAGCAGACGGAATTGGGCCTCGACTCAAGTCCTCCCTCAACACAAGAACACGTTGTTCTAATTGGCATTCTGTGACACTCACCTTCTCAACATGTTCACTGAAGACAATGGGTGCATAAGCTAATGTGGTGAGGAAAGCTGGTGGTGCTTGGCTATATTAGAAGATATAGCATCTGGGGTCTTAAAGGCTTGAAGTTAAACAAATGGCCATCTAGCAGGGAAGCAACAAAGCCCACATGGGAGAAGCATTCCAACCCATGTGATCACGAGGTGTCGACGGGACCAGGTGTCAGGCATCATTGAATGAGGGGGGTCGGAATGGAGACCCAAGGCCACTTGTAGACAGGTGGACGTCCCCTCACAGAAGGGTCACAAGGAAGGAGTGAGCCAGCCAGGGTGCAGTATACACCAACGACACAACATTCCTCTCGTTCTTTAATGCTCCCTCACACCACCCCTTTACCTGACTATCGTGACCCAGTTCTATCTTACACATCTGGCTAGACTAGAGCATGTACACTGGTACAGATAAGAGCTTTTGACACATGCAATCCAGGACAGATAACCCTTCAGACCAATAATGATAGTGGCAATACCATTAGGGTAGGGGGAAGGTGAGGGGGAGAAAGGGGGAACTGATTGCAATGATTGTTACCGCCCCTCGCCCCCAGATGAACAACAGAAACATGGGTGAAGGGAGGGAGCGGACGGTGTAAAATATGAAAATATAAGTTATCTAGGGTTTACCAGAGTGGGAGGGAAGGGGGAAAAAGAGCTGGATACCAAGGGCTCAAGTTGAAAGAAAAGGTTTTGGAAATGATGATGGCAACATATGTAGAAATTTGCTTGATACAATTGATGTATGGATTGTTGTAAGAGCTCCCAATAAAATGATTTATTGAAATCTTTAAAAAACCCAAAACAGTTCTAGTCTTGAAAACCCAAGGGGGTCGCTGTGAGTCAGCATTGATGCAGTGGCAGTGAGTTTGGTTTTGTCCTTTCTCCGGGGGCTCCTTTTGTATGGAGCTGGATGGCATTCCAGTGAACCCTGGCCCCAGTCACTCACAGGTGTCCGCCCATTGTCTCCTCCTCACGCAGACCATGTAGAAAGAGGCCTTTTGGTGGGCGTTAGAAACTGGCTAGAAGAGCCACCATTCATTAATTCAGGGCCCTTGTAGATCCACACCCAAATCCATGCCCCGAGACCTCTGCCGTTCGGTCATTTCCAACTGTTAGCAACCCTTAATAGGACTTCTGGGGTTGTAAGTTATTATGGGAGCAGATACTGCATCTTTTTCCCGAGGAAGGAGTGGATGATGGGTTTGAACCACTGACCTTATAGTTAGCAGTACACCACACCACCAGGATTTCACATACATATGATGGTTCCTTAATTTGTTACATGTATGAATGATACTTCTACCTCGCCCTACATTTTGCCTGACCTAGAGTGAGTTGCTTAAAGTGCAGTCTTCCTAGTTTCTGAATTATACCTAGATTTTGAATTATGTTGTTCCTAACCTAGCACAGGATTCTGCCACACTGTGCCACACATTTTCTCTGTAAGGATTACTACTGTGTTACTTGGTACTCACATTAATTAGAGAAGGAGTTCTTTTATAGAGTACACTTCTCCTTGTTGAATATCAAAATGAAATTTTAATCGGATATCATTTCTCCACTACTGAACCATGGCAGGCAAGAAAGCGAAGCAAAGGACTCCTTGTCAGCCCTGGTGTGTTAACCGTGGCTTTGGCAAAGTGATAATGCAGAAGAATGACCCACAGCTAATGGACATGTTGGTCAACAGTCAGTATGGCCGCCTCTCTCACTGCCATCAGGTTGACTGACTCACAGTGACCCTTTAGGACAGGACAGACCTGCCCTTGTGGGTCTCCAAGACTGCAGCCCGTCACAGGAGGAAAAAGCCTTGTCTTTCTTCCTTGGAGCAGCTGGTGGTTTTGAGCTGCTGACCTTGCAGTTTGCAGCCTAGAGCGTGACAACTACTAGCTCTCTGTTTCTTGAGTCTCAGGGCCTTCGAACAGTTTGTTTCTAGGAGTTTCACTGAATTCAGATTACGTTCAGGGATGAACCCAAACTAAAGCCACTGCTAGGGAGTTGATTCTGACTGGTCGTGACCCTAGATAGGGCTTCAGAGATTAAACCTTTACGAGAGTAGATAGCCTCCGTGTTCTTCCATGAGCAGCTGGTGGGTTTGAACCACCAACCTTACAGTTAGCAGCCCAACACCTAACCCACAGTGCCACCAGCACTATTTAATTCAAGGAAGAGCAGGAGTCAAATAGTTGAGAAGATTGAAACTTTAAAGGGTCACTGATTAGTCAGTGCACTAAACGATTTAAAATGTGGCATCTTTGGAATAGAAAGGACATTGCTGGGAATGATAGGGTGGGAAGGCAAGGGAAAGTATTTCTCTCTTCTGGACTATGGGCTTTTTTGAGGGAACGGCCATATCTTGTTTGCATCTGCATTTATGAGCTCTAGCCTAGTACGACTTCATGCAGTAAAATTGAATGGCAGTTCTAAATCGAGAAACTGGGAGAGAGCATCTAATATTTCCATGCCGTGGCATAACTCCCTACTCTCTCTGCAAAAACCATTACATTGAATTGTGCGGCCCAATGTAAAACCCAGACCATTTTCAGCTTTATAAGAACAAAATTCTTTCCCCCCATTGATGGCAAGCCCTCCTCTCTGCTAGTGTGGGCTTATTAGCCGCAGGTCTTGATGTTGTTGTACTTTCTGTTTGAAGCCTAGGCAAGAGGGTACCCTCTCCTCTTCTTCCCAGGGCCACATTTGTGAACGGATGAATTTTGATGGCAATGTGTTCTCCTGGATTTAACATTTAGCAAGAATATTTCTATACTACCAGAGGCGAAAGCTTCTATAAGTGTGGAATTTTGGTAAATTCATATCTAGAAGTTTCATTATTGAACCTGGTCAGTGAAACAGGTTTTATTGAATATTTTCAGTCCTTTTTCACTTGTAAGAGCAGACATTAATTTTCTCACAGGTTAGGGTGCTAGAAAGTTGAATTAAGGGTTCTAGCTATAGGGGAAGCCTTTCTCCGTGGCAGCCACGGGAGAGACTTCTGCCTCACATTTTAGGGCTTCAGCATCTGTTGGTTGCTTGGAGTTCTTTGTGGGACATCTGTCTGCCCCTGTTTTAGTCTCTGTGTCTGCAGAGCGCCTTGTTCCTCAGAAGTGAGTAGATTTAGGACGCGTCCATACTGATGCGCTTCGTTAACATCATAAAACCCTGTTTACAGATTGCATTCCATCCAAGGGTGTATCTGCACCTCATCTGACTCATAGTGCCTCCAGAAGACCGCATAGAACTGCCCTTGTGCATTGTGAGCCTGTTTACGGGAGTAGAAAGTCCAGTCTTTCTCCCATAGAGTGGCTGGTGGTTTCGAACTGCTGATCTTGCAGTTAGTAACCCAAGGTGTAACCACTGTGCCACAGACACAGAAGACAACAAGTGTCTACATTTCTAACTAGAGAGCTAGATAATTAGAAGTAAGTCGTTATGTTTAAATGGGACTGTAGAGGAGCGGTGAGGCTTCTATTGCCACAAAGATTTACAGACCCATTGGACAGCTCTGCTTCACTTAGAGGGTTGGGAGGAGTCAGAATCGACGTGATGACAGTGAATTGGTTTTTTCAGTTGGTTTCAATGGGTTTAGGTCATTAGTTTAAACTAGCCGTTTAACAATTGCTTTTGTCGAAATCTAAACAACTTAATATTTCAAATAACAAGGGTGGTCTTCCCTGATTGAAAATAATATATTGAAATCAGTGTGTTCTAGGTCAATGGCCTCTAAGACTCCAGTTGGATTCATAGGACTGGGCAACATGGGGAATCCAATGGCAAAAAACCTGATGGAGCACGGCTATCCTCTCATCGTTTGTGACGTCTTCCCCGATGCCTGCAGAGAGTTTCAAGATAAAGGTGAACAGGTAAGGCCTGTTCTGTAGATTTGTTTCGGGTTTTGATGTTTTGAAAGGAATGTGCACTCAGATAAGTGACAGCTTCAAAGTTTACATTGATGGTGGAGTTCTAAGCCTGATTCCTTCATTTTATTTCCTTTTTTTAAAACAGTCACACGATATCCTGGCGTGCAGTAGAGGGGAGCTCTCACTATATACTGAGGCAGTTCAGTTCTTTGATATAGGAGCACGGATGGCATCCTGGGTTTAAACATTGGGCTGCTAAACTTTAAGGCCAGCAGTTCTAACCTGTAGGAAAATGAGAGGTTGTCTGCCCCCACGACGATCCACAGCTTCAGAAACCTTAGGGAGCAGTTCTGCTCTGTTCTGTATGAATTAGAATTTGACTTGATGACATTGGGAATTTTGGTTTTATTTCTTGGCAAGAGGACAGTAGTGCTTATTTTCTTTTCCATGAGGGTGATAAGGGTTTTTTCCCAATGCACTTGGAGGGCAGCCATCTTTCCTCTGTCATTGGAGGCTTCTTGGGTGCTGTGATGCTAAATAGCTTTCAGCTAGCTTGCAGACTAAGACAAACTAGGAAGAAAGGCCTGGTAGTCTACTTTCATAAATTAGACATTGAAAATCCCATGAATCACAACAATCCAATCCTGTAGTTTATGGAGTTGCCATGAGCCAAGGGATGACTTCTACCAAGGAAGCTAATGATAACAGCATTCTTTGGCAGGTGACTTAGAGATCTCCTGGTTTGGTCAGATGGGCTTGCTTTGGCTCGCCATCAGTTTTTCCAAGGCAGGAGCTGTATGTATTAGGCTGTTAACACAGGTGGTTTGGTGGCAGTAGCCTCTTACTTATGGGAAACACAACGGGTATTAGGACAAGAATAAGCTTAGGGATAGTCAATGTCTCTCAAGCTCCAGCTCCGATACCTGTTGTCTCGGTGGAGTCAGGTTACTTCACCTTAGCTGGTATGCTTACTGCTAAAACGGGAGTGACGTATGACCCCCTGTACCGAGAGACTGAGGCTCAAGTAGAAAATGTGTGTGAATGTTGACCATGAACACCACATGGAAGCATTTTGTGCATAAGTTCTCCCCAGATTGGTCTTTAGTGTGTTCATTTTAGGATGTCCTTCATGTTTCAAGAGTTTGGGGGCTGGAGTTTATCGTACTTGGTAATAGCATCTGTTGGCTAAGACTTGCATGGATTAGTTAAACTTTATCAGTAACTCACATGACTAGAAGCCATGCATCAGTAACTGAATCTAGAGTTTTTGTTTTATCTAGATAGGAAGGTAAATCCTTTTATATAAGGTAGAGAGTTATCACATGGTGGAATGGAATCCCAGAGCTGGGAGACTACTAAATACATTTCTGAGAAATCGGGCAAATCAGTGAGGAAAAATCAAATAATAACAGTCAACTTCTGGAAAATAGACTTGAAAATAAACACTGAGAAGCGTAGGCACTGAGCCACCATTTGCAGACTTGGGTATCTTGTACCTCCCTTCCCTGGGTTACATGTTGTATGCGGATGTGAGGGTGGTCTTGAACTTTTGCAAGGAAGGCTGTGTCTGCTTATGTCTACTTCTTACCTTACCAATTGACATTGAGTTGATTCCAGTGCGTGGGGTTTTAATGACTGATTGTTTTTTGGTAAGTAGATTGCCAGCCCTTCCTTCCAAGCACTGCTGGTGGACTTGAGCTTTCCAGCTCTCATTTACCAGCTGTGTGCACTGACCACTTACATCTATACTAAAATTCTGAGTTCAGTAGGCTTTCAAATGACATGAGTCAGTAAGTAACCACTTGGAAGGTTTATTTGTGGGATTTGATCAGTTATTTGCTTCATTAGGGATCTGAGAAAGGTGGCCTTTTCCCATCTTCAGGAATGGAAAGCAGTTTGAGTTGATACTAAATTTGAATGAGTTGATTAGTAGTTATTTGAAGAGATGGATATTATTTTCTTGGGTAACATGTCTATTTGATGTTTTGACCTGGTAGTGGTTTACATATCTATGTGTAAGAGTAAGGAAATACACATTGCTGGTGGGTCTGTAAATATGTACAACCACCATAGAAAGCAATACGGTGCCACTCCAAAACAACTGGGAATACTGAGATTTCATAGGATCCAGAAATACCTCTGCTGGGTATGTACCCAAAAGAAGTAAGAGATATGACGGGAACAGACATTTGCACTCCCGTATCTGTCACAGCACTGTTCACAGTAGTAAGCAAGAAGTTGCAAACAGCTCGCATTTTCCCATCAGCAGAAGAATGGATAAACTTTGGTACAGACATCCAGTGGAATTCTACTTTTCCCTAAAGAACAATGATGAACTGACAAAGCACCTCATGACATGGATGGGCCTGGAGAACATTATGCTGAGTGAAGTTAGTCAGTCACAAAAGGACAAGTGAGCTCACTACTTTAAGGATAAACACCAAGACAGACTTGCATGCCAAAAGAAACAGACTTTGGAGATTCCCAAGGGACGGATGAAGGGTGGGAAGATGAAACACCAGACTAGAAGGCTGACAGGTGTAGACTTGGGTGTAACAGAGGATGGAGGGCCTTACGAGGGAGAAGAGAAACTACAGAAGTGGGTGCTGTAGAATACAGATGGGGTGGGGGTGGGGTTGATGAGTGGCTTGAACTGTTGAATGCAGAGTTGATAGTTTGAGCTGTAACCACTCCCCCACCCCAGCCTAATTTGTAATTAAATTTGTCATTTAAAAAAAAGCCCACAAAAAACCCAAAATATGCAAGGGGCTTCAAAAATTCATGGAAAATGGAATTAAAAGATAGTGGCATTTTCCCCTGAACTCTGTGTGAACTTTCTAGTTGCACTGGTCTCTGTTCGAGTCTCTCTTTTTCTTTAAAAACTTGAAAACCGTTGTACTGTTCTTGGGTTGTAAGGCTGACCTGGTTGGGTTAAGTGATTCTCTTGGCCTCCACTCAAGTCTTGTTAGATGAGAGCTTTAGGCACCTTTTGCTGCACAGGCTCCCTCACTGTTGCCAAATGTTTCAAGATACAGGCACAAAATGTTTTGTTTGCCCCCCCACACCTCCCGCCCAAGTATAGTATAATTTTGAAAATATCTTTCTACTTGGAAAGATTAAAAAATACCGAGTGGTAAGTTTAACAAGGTCACATTAATCTTTGCAAGTTTCTGTTACCCTTTGGAAGCAGCGCTGAACTTAATTTAGGCGACTTCTTGTCTAGAAGGAGGAGCAAAGCTTTCTCTATAAGCATCTAGGCCAGCCGTTCTACTGAGTACGTAGAAAGGAGGTGCAGTCCTCAGATGAATCGTGAACCCCGCTGACCACCCCTGACCTGCAGCAAAGCAGATTTTGTCTTTAATTTTTCACACAGCTCTCTTCGCTGTATATTGTACATGTGCCACTGAGGGAGGTATATTGACATGCAGATGAACCAAAGTTAAATCCAGAGAAACGGACTGCAAGAAATTTCAAAAACCAGAGCCAGTCTCCTGTAGTCATTGAGATATTAGAAAAAAAATCAGAGTCATTTTAATTCAGATGAATTAGTGGATGAAGGAGACCATTGGAATTGTCAAAAGGTCAGTGGGGGGTAAAGAAAAGCCATGGCCCAGACTGCACAGGTCTTCTGCATCCCTGCTGATGAGTCCTGCTGATGCTGAGCCCTTGCAGAAGCTCCTCCCTCCTGTCCGCCCCTTTCACAGGAGTCCCTAGCTGGTGCAAATAGTTAGCATGCTTGGTTGCTAATTGAAAGGTTGCTGGCTAGAGTTCACCCAAAGACAGCCATGGGAGAAGGACCTCGTGATCGACCTCCAAGAAATCAGTTGTTGAAAATTCTTGCAATTAGATTTTTGTCAATTTGATGGTACCTGTGTGGAAGTAGGGTTGGAGTTCAACCTGTCGATCAAGTGGTAGCCTGATGACACCTCGTTGGGATTGTGGCCTTTTAAACATCGTAGAGACATTGGGAACTGCTCTCTGTCTTGACCTTGGCCTTCATTCTTTTAAAAAAAATCATTTTATTGGGGGCTCGTACAATTCATATCACAATCCATACATACATCCATTGTGTCAAGCACATATTTACATTTGTTGCTATCATCGTTCTCAAAACATTTGTCTTCTTGGGCCCTTAATATCGGCTCCTCATTTTTCCCCTCCTCCCTCCCCCCTCCCTCATGAACCCTTCTTAATTCATAAATTATTATTATTTTGTCATATGTTACACTGTCTGACGTCTACCCCCGCCCTCTTCTCTGCTATTGATCCCCCAGGGAGGAGGCCATTACTTAGATTCCTGTAATCGGTTCCTCCTTTCCACCCCACATTCCCTGCTCTGAGAACCTACACCAGAGGAATGACCGATGTCAGGACATACTCAGAAGGCCAGGCTCACAGATGTTGAAAGGGGACAAGGATGCCCCCCAAGAACTGGCAGAGACAGAAAGCCTTCCCCTTGAGCTGGCAGCCAGAATTTGGATGTCTAGTCTCCTAAACTAAGAGAGAACGTGTTTGTTTGTTAAAGCCGTTCACTTGTGCTATTTCTGTTCCAGCACCACGAGGTAGCCTCAGATAGAGGTTTAGCAGGACTGGCAATCCACGCCTCTCCAGAATGAGAGGCTGCAGGCACAGGAAGCTGCTTAGTCACTCCACGAGCTTGACAGTTGGCATGACTTGGCACTGCCAGGTAGTTCACGGGCATAAGGAGCATGGAGTCGTGAGCACCTGTGGGTCTGTGGGCTAGTTGTTGATGCCCCGCAGGGCTTTTCTCAAGCAGTTGTTCAGATGGAATTGAATTTCCCTCCGTGGAAGGTCTTCTCAATATCTAAGAGAAACTGTGAAGTCGAGTTGATCTCAGAGATCGAGCTGCAGTAGAAGGAAAGGCCGCTGAGAGGTATGCCACTGTTTACTTAAGTCAGGCATGTACAGGATGGGCTCTTTAAGTAACTTTTATTCTTGGTAACATCCCAGAACAGGGAATTATGACTCTGACCACCTATTCTTTTTCCTATTTCCTTATCATACTGAGCTTTGTTTTTCTTGAGTAAAAAGAGAAGGTTGCCTCTTTACATCTTGTGTATTGGAAAGGCTTTCATGTTATGCATTGGGCTGCTAATCTCAAGGTCAGCAGTTTAAAACCACCAGCCTTCACAGCAGAAAGACGAAGCTTTCGACTCCTGTGAAGAGTTAGTCTCAGAAACCCTGGGGAACAGCTCTACTCTGTCCTCGATGGCACTGAATGTGAGTTAAGCATTTCTTTGGAAATTGACAGATAAAACCCCAAACATGCCACCTTCCCCTACGTAGACTTAATTGTGTCAGGTGGCCATTACATATCAAAATACACTTGTTGGATGTACCTTCCTGTGACTCTTAAGATGCTGCACTGCCTTTCTCTACCGAAAGAGAAAATACCTTTTATTGTTCTAGGCTCTGACGAGTTTAATGCCATTTTCTGTATACGGAGAGATAAGACACTTGATTGTCAGAAATTTTAACGGATGGTTTATGAAATTACTTTATGTTAAAGTTGCGTTTGTCTAGACTTTGATTTAGAAATGAGTAGTCTCATGGGAAATGGAAATGCAGACCTTCTAGTTCATAATATTTAGATTAGACACTATATTTAACTTCCTATTATTTCACTTCCATCAACTACATCACAGACAAGGAAATCTCAGGTGAACTTCCTCCACAAGGGAAGCAAAGTCATTCCCAATCCTAAGGTGTTTACATCATCACGTCACATTTTCTAGTAGAAAATATGTTCATTTCCTACTACATATGTCAGTTGCTCTGTAGCAAAATATTCATTGTCTGCCTGATAGTCTTTTGCTTTGTTTGTTTTTGTTTTTAACAAAGGGAGAAAGGACGTTAGAGGAGCTTTGGTGAAGATTGGAGTGATGGATTCTTTTATGAAAGGAGAGTTTGAGTCAAGGATTGAACCCTCAGCTCTTCTGACTTCCTTTGTTGTTGACTGGCAGGTGGATGAAGGTATATATGTGAGTGTTTGTGCAAGGAGCTAGGGGAACAGAGGAATGAATGACCATATAAGAACTGAGAATGGCCAGAGCAATGGTTCTTGACAGTGTGTCATGGTCATTACCGAAGTGAAGGTTAAATGAGGGAGTGCTTTGATGCCTATTGGTATGTCTCTCTTCAATCGATAATTCTCAGGTGAATTCTGGCAGCTCTGACTACCAGTCTTCATGGTGGGACTCATGTTGTTTAGCTTGCTTTGAATTTTACTTCGTTCTCTATTGTGTGAGCATCATTTCGAGAGTGGCGGCGGCGGTAGTGGGTATGGTGTGTGCACACGCGTTCATACTTGGTGTTCTTCTGGAGCTAGGGCATTACACTTTCACAAGGTGTTAGCTTTCTCAGTTCTCCCCACATCAGTGCTCTCAACAGCACAAATTCCCGCAAGAAACTTAAGAAATTTGTCCTTTTTTCAGGGTGTGATTCCTTGCTGTGATCCCTCAGTGTTCTTATAGAAATGTACATGGGCTGCTTTTCTCAGAGCCTCTGTGGGGGGACATTGGGATCTTTGACCTTTTCTGATACAAGTTTAGCATTTCTCCCCATGAAAATAGAAACTGGAGATGGTGGGACTAGAACTAGTTTCCTTGGGGATTTTGCTGCCCACCACATCACTTTTGAATCCTTCAGTTGGGCTACCCACCCTGTTGTTCTAGAATGCTTTTCTTAATCAAAGTGCATACCAAAAAGTCTGTACCCTGGAGGAGCCCAGGAGAAGAGTGTCGGTTCTCAGGATGGTTGAGGTTTGCCCTTTTCCGCCTGCTTCTGTCACACTTTCTAAAGTAAACAGATTTGATTCCATGGAAACTGTTTCTGTGTGTGTTTAAGAAATGAGCTCTGTACTTCAGGCCAGTGGCTTTCAACCTTCCTCATGCTGCAGCCCTTTAGTACAGTTCCTCATGTTGTGGTGACCCCCAACCATAACATTCTTTTCATTGCTACTTCGTAACTGTCATTTTGCTACTGTTATGAATCATAATGTAAATATCTGATATGCAGGATGTATTTTCTTTGTTACAAATTGAACATAAGTAAAGCATAGTGATTAATCACAAAACAATATGTAATTATATATTGTGAAGTATGTACTTGTAATGACAAATATATGAAATTTTGTCTTGAAGCATGGTGTAGCATGGGTAACAGTCTTCCCGCCAGGTGCTCGTATGTGGGCATATCTGCATGTGCGCGGACCCTCCTGGAGACGGGTAGTATCTCAGTTCCTAAGACCATGGGAAATATGTGTTTTCCGATGGTCTTAGGTGACCTCTGTGAAAGTGTCATTTGACACCCCCCCCAAAGGGGTCGCTACCCCCAGGTTGAGAACTGCTGCATTAGGCAGTGTCTATGTTTTTTTCTTGTTGTTTTGGTCACATTTGCATACAAGCATTCGTTTTTCCTCATTGTCATGTGTGGACACACATCAAGAGTGGGCCCTGCCTGTGCTCTCGGAGACACTTGCCTTTTGATTTCAATAATGCATGTGCCTCTGTGATTTTTGTTCTACAGGTAGTGTCTTCCCCCGCTGATGTCGCCGAAAAAGCGGACAGAATCATTACAATGCTTCCGACCAGTATGAATGCAATAGAAGTTTATTCTGGAGCAAATGGAATTCTAAAGTACGTATTTCTCAGTGTGGGTCTTGCTACGATAATTTTTGAGTTTCATATCTGTTAGCACTATTAGAAAATTTAAATTTTGTTTGTTACACCTTTTCTGCACTGCTTTCTTATTTCGGAAAGTGAATGGCGTCACACTGGTTTCTCTCTCATTATAAAAGGCTTGGTTTTCACCAAAGTTAGGGAAGGCTGTCACTGTTCTTTCTCACTAACCTACATTTGGGGCTACGTTGTTTTTTTCTTCTCTCTTTTGCATTAGACTTGCCTTTTCACTGGTAACAGGCTTAGTTTACCTTTAAAGCTTGCATATTAAACTTTAGCATTATATGCACACTTGTCTTTGGCTCATAGAAATTCAGGAAGAAGTTTCCATGAAAAATAAAAGCAAGCTGTGGAAGCAGCACCATTGTTTAATCTTTCATCACACACTGAAGCCTGTGAGGCCTGGAACCCCGGGCTGTGTGTTCCTCTGAGGCCCCCACGCCTTTCCTTTCCGCGGACGGGCTGCAGCCTGTGACCCTTCTTTTGCTCGCTAGTAGTGGGAAACATTTGAGTTGCCCTTCTCTGTCAAGTGTCCACCTTACAAAAGTTCCAGCTTCTGCAGGTTTTACTGTATCATAAAAAGTTATTGCTCGTTCTGTGGGTTATGTCCATCTGCAGCGAGAGCCTTGGGAAACTCAAATAGCAGGCTAACAGTAGCTCTTTAAAAAAATTCCCTAGCCTCTCTGGACTTGGCTCTGAACATCTTTAGGTTAACTGCTACTTACTGGTGGTGTTGGGATCACAGGGGTTGAATTCCCAGCCGCATTCAGTTCTTACTGATTCCTATTTTGAACTTGTTTTGTTGTTGAGTTTCATTAGAGAAACTTGTAGGCCCTGTAAACCTACAAAAAGCTAAGAGAAAGTGTTTACTTTCATGAAACTAGTACTTGGAGCTTGAGGTTTGAGGAAATTAGGTTGCTTTGGAAAGTGAGCAAATTTAGAAGCAAAAGACACTGGAGATTAGGCAGTAAACTGATAAGTTAAATGTTTAGATTTTCAAGCAAGGTTGAAAACTCATTTTGGATGGGACCCACAGACCCATAGTGTGTGTGTGTGTGGTCCTGAGAGCTCTTGCTGCCCCATTACCTACTCTCTCTTCCAGTTATAGCTCTGCTCTGCCTCTCAGACAAAAGTTACTAAAAACGTGTGGCAAGACACGAGGCCTATGGTAGCTGGCTACCAGGAAGCTCTTTGAAAGAGTGTGGTTTTAACCTTGAACTATAATTTGATTCTCATAGGTAGTTCTTTTTATTCCCCAGAATTATTTCCCCACTCCTAACACATGTGTAATGTTAGAGGCAATTTCCCATTTGTTTTAAAGAGTTAAGATCTTTAAAATATTAATATCACAGAGGGCTAGTAAACTTAGTCCTTATTATTTAGGTTACTGGAGCCCTGGTAGTGCTGCCAGGTAAGCGTTGAACTTCTGACTGGAAGGTTAAGAAGTGCATACCAACCAGCTCCTCCACGGAGAAAGACGAGGCTATCTGCCTCAGAGAGATTTATAGCCTTGGAAACCCTGTATAGGTCGCTATGAGTCAGAATCGACTTGCTGGCCGTTGGTCTGGTTATTTAATTATTTGGTTATTTAGTTACATAAATTGAAATTCTGCATGTTATTTCTTTTCTTTGGAATATACCCAAACATCGCTTTTGAACCCCCTCAATTCATGTCTAAAATTGTTGTTTAAACTGCTTTGAGTCTCATTTGCTGTCTTGCAAGGTTTCACTTCTATTTTTAGAAGTCTTTAGCTCCCTTTCCCCCTTTCAGTGTTTGTCTTCAGTTCGACTTTCCCAGTCATAACTACGATCGTGTGTCATCTGGGCTAGCGTATCTGTGGTGACAGCTTTGGACAGTTTGAATTAAAGATTAGGCATAGTCATTATAATTTATGTTAGAGGTTTCTAGTCAGTGAAGATAATCTCCCTGCCTTTTAGATTGTAGGGAACTATCTATCTATCTATCTATCTATCTATCTATCTATCTATCTATCTATCTATCTATCTTCTGTACTTAGGGTACACATAGCAAATTGTTTTGCTACAGTTTGTTTATAGATTTGAAAATATTGATGTAAAATATAAGATGAAAGACTGTTTCCCTTTATGCACACACACGCACGCACGTACATAAATACACAAAGGTAAGTCAAAAACATTGCTACTAGAATGCCGGTTTACATACACACATGTGGTTTATTTCAAATACGATATGTTTAAACATTCTCTGTGATCAGTGGATAGCACAGATCAGTTCTCTCATTATTCACTTACTTTAATCTCATTAAGGTCTCTTCAAAAAAAGTCCAGTCCAAAGAGTGGCTTCTGAGGGGATCTGCTGGACTAGTTCAATTCAAAGCTGATAGGTCAGCTGAGAAGGCTTTGACAATGGTTTTTGTGGGTTCCAAAGAGGTAATCTTGTTAGATTTTCCCAAAGGACATCAGACAATCAAGGAAAAGTTTTAAGAAGATTGAAAACTGCATTAGTTTGTGTGTTTGTGTGTGTGTAATAACGTGTGTCTAAACATGTATCATACTGAGGGACTTCAAAGAATCATAGAAAAATCGAATGAAAAGATAATAGATAAAAAGAATTTCTATATGTATGTATACATGTATATATGCAGTCTTTATAATAAAGAGCAGAAAGACTTGATCCAACTGTGAGCTTTCCAGGTCCATTTGTCTGTTTTCTTTCTACTTGTTTGAAGACTTATTTGTCTCTAATGTGCCACCCTGATGCAAATGGCAGATAAATAATAAATAAAAAAGCAAATGGCATGATTTCAGTTGGTTATGTTTATTCTACCTCATGGAAATGACATTTGTAATACTGTTTGTCAAAGACAAAACAAATTCTTTTTATTTGTTTAAAATAACACTATACAAACAAGTTTTAAGTTGTCTCACATAGTACTTTTAAAGTTAATATGAATTTTAAATTGCATGCGTAGTATTGTTGTCAGTGTGCAAATCACCTGAAACCAGAATTTAATAGATGAAAAAAAATTGTTTTTGTTTGAAAGAACTTGGGTTTATCTTATAATTGACCTAAAAATAAATGAAAAATTCAATCTTAATTAATAATGCCTTTAATACTAAACCAAAGATGACTTTTATATCTAGCATTGTTTAATAATTCTGATTCTATAAGTGAAATATTTAGGAAATGTGAAATATTTATTCCAAGTTGTAAGCCATAAATATTTTTATTAATATACTTAGGAACGTGAAGAAAGGCTCCTTACTAATAGATTCCAGTACTATTGATCCATCAATTTCAAAAGAATTGGCTAAGGAAGTTGAGAAAATGGGAGCGGTTTTCATGGATGCCCCTGTGTCTGGTGGTAAGTGGTAGCTGAACTATATACATTGCTACGACTTTGTGTCAAAAGTCGCAATTAAAGTTTTGTGGTACCTTGAATATTTCTTTCCAGTTCCTTTTAGACCTGTTGTAAGATTCTCAGTTTCCTTACTACTACATATCAAAACCAAAACCAAACGGACTTAGGTCATTGAGTACTCTCCGGGTAGGTCGATCGCTGTCTTAAATTCAGGTGAAAGGCGTGCCAACCTTGAAGGGCTGGGGAATTTTTTGTCCAAATTGCTGAAGGTAGAAATAGACCAATTCTTAGGAGATTGCTTCAGGACCAATTTAAGAAATAATTAACTTGAATGATTTTGTAACTCTTAAAGAAAATGAAGCAGTGGTAAATAAGAAAAAACACTCTTTTTACTTCAGAAACATTAGGCACTTACAGTTTTAAAGATGAGTTGCCAAAGGTTCAGTAGCAGATAATCTCAATTTTTGTATGAACTTTTCCAGACAATAGAAAAAAAGAAAAGAAAAAGAAGAATTACTTCCCAGTTCATTTAACGAGATGTGGATGATTCTGATACTTAAATTGATGAGGCATTGTGAAGAGAGAAATTTTTAAGTCTGTTTCAGTCATGAATATAGAATTTAAGAAACTAGCGTATCTTAGTAAATCAAATCCCACTATGTGTAAAAGAGTCAAGTACTTATCATGTATAAGCTGAGTTTTTCAGCACATTTTTATGGAGTTTTTGTGGTAAAATTAGGTGCCTGGGCTGCTATTCGGGTCTGCTTACACACGAGCACATACAGGATTTTGTTTATCTCATGTATTCACAGATGGCTTAGTATTAGATCATCTAGAAATAGAATCATTATTTAATACCCTTTAAGAAATCACATTGTCATCCATGTAGAAGGCAAAAAGATCCCCTAATGAAATTGTAAAAGTTTATTATTATGTCAAGTATTAGTTTTTAGGTAGCAGGAGTATAGGTTTTATGATATTTAGTAATGTCCAAAATTACAGTTTTCAGATTATGTATATATGTAATTATAGCAGTATAGCAATAGACAGTGGAATAGCAATTTTATTCTAATTATGAAACTTGATTGTTGTCTTCAAAATTGAAAAGTTAACACAATATAATAATTCCACTTTAATTTTTCCTCAGGAACTTAATGTCCTATTGTTAGGGTGCTGGTGGTTGTGTGTGTGTGTGGGGGGGGGGGTATAAGGGTGTTTTATATCTTAGACCATTTTTTAATATACTTGTATATGGAGGTATTAAGTAATTGTTATATTAAATTGGCTAAATAGGATTTAGGTATAAAGATTTTGCAATGTGATGTGAACACTTTGATCATAAAATACTAATAGGTGCTTATAAGTTTTATATTGATATAGATTTTTACAGGAGGAAATTAACAAACTAGAACAACTCTTCTGTGTATCCTTAGTTGATTTTGAAAATTGGCATAGTATATATAATCTTGTTGCTGGTTGATCATTTGCTTTAAGAGTATAGCCTGAAATCAACACTTCATAATGAAGAGCATCAGTTTGATTTTTAAATGACATATTTTCTTTTAAAATAGTTTTATTTGTGAACATATTTTTAATTACTGATAATCACCCTTCCCCCTTTTTAATTTTTATTGGGGGCTCATACAACTTGGTGACTCATAATCTTATTATGTTACTTTTAAACTCTGGTGTAATGTATTAGAGTATAAAAATTGTAATGTTACATTTGTGAATATTCTTGAATTTGAATACTGTACTGTAGGTTGAAAGCTTTCATGTAGCGTAAATGGATTGAGATAATTCACTACTTGATATGATCACTTGAGATTGCTGATATATATCAGCTTATATATATATTTTTTCTCATAGGTGTTATTTTTAATTTTTAACATGATTAAAATGACCCCACTTTCTCAATTGAAAGAAAATAGAGGGAACTTCTTGCATGTTAAATAGGCTGATTTAAAAATAGTTGTTTTAATTAAATAACATTAAACAATAGGGATGTGGTAAAACCATGCCTTCCTAAGATAGTTTTAGATACCCAAGATAGGTCCACAGCTCTCCAGAAATTCAGTTTTCATCCGTCATGCAATATTCAATAAAGTGGTTCTCAACCCATGGGTCAAATGACCCTTTCACAGGGATCGCTCGATTCATAACAGTAGCAAAATTACAGTTATGAAGTAGCAATGAAAATAATTTTATTTTCGTTGAGGAACTGTATTAAAGGGTTGCAACATTAGGAAGGTTGAGAACCACTGATTTAAGTGAAGACCTTAAAATTTCCTCCTTTTTTTCTCTCTTCCTGATGCCTCATCTGTCTCTATCTGTCTTTTTTAAAACGTGCACTCACATGTATTTAAATACAAATGTGTATGAATACAATCACATGCTAGAAATATAGATGAGAAATACTAAACATCCATACTTATGTGCATGTGGACCAGACATTGGTTAACATTTTAAACTGTCTTAAACTATATGAATTAAAAAGCCGATGATGCTAAAACTATTGTAATTAGTCAGAAACCATGTAAATAGCTATTTTAAACTTGTACAGTTATCATTCTATTATGTAGACATTACTTTAGTAAGGACTTTGAGGACATGCCACCACTGTTTGTAGAACGTTTTTTGAAATTGGCAGACTATACATGTTATGAAAACCCACGTTACAACTTTGCCTGTAGGCATTGAGTGTCTTAAACTTACCCCAGTTTAAGATCTTTGGATATAAAAGATGTCTTTAAAAAAAAATTAAACACTAAATCTGTTTATAAAATACAAGTAAGGTTTAAAGTGTTAAAGTGTCCATGGAGCCTACAGGTAGGTACCCTTCACCCGGTTTAAGAGACAAACCCTTTAAATAAGTTCTCGCATGCTTCTCTTTGACTCTATTTTCTGCTCCCTTTGATTAGAGAAAATTAGAATCCTGAATTGTGCATCTTATCAGCATGCTTTTCGCTATTAAACTGTTTAACCTCGAGTTTTAATTTCTGAACAGTAGTTTATTTTCCATGATTTGGAACGTGATAGTGATGGAATCATAATGAATGTGTATTCTGTGACTGACTTTTGCATGCCCTGAACAGCCCTCAGGTGACTCGAAGGCACTCCTTTCTTTAGGTCAAGGTAGGCTTGCGTCAGGCCTTGTGGTGTGGGTTGAGCATCAGTCCCTACTCCTCCCCTTGGTTCAGTGCCCTTGTGCAGAGCCTGGGCTTCATAGAATTGTTAGATGTAGTTCATTAATTTTAACTACTATGTAGTTATTCTTCTCTATAAACACATCATCTTTTTTTTATCATTTCTACTATGATACCCATTGGATTGCTTCTATTTTTTTCTTTATATCACTCATGTTCTTTTTTTTAAAGATCATTTTATTGGAGGCTCTTCATCAATTGTGTTAAGCATATTTGTGTATGTCTTGCCATCATTATTTTCTAAACATTTGCTTTCAATGTGAGCCCTTGGTATCACCTCCTTTTCTC